AATATCAAATATTTTTTAATATTAATACTTATCTTTGTACGATAATTTTATATTTTTTACATGTTTCGAATTAATTCAATTTAATTTGCTTTGTTTTAAATTATCTTAATTTTCTTTTTTCTATTTCGAATTATTTCAAAATATTTCGAAATATCTTACGTAATATTTCATAATATCTTACGTAATATTTCATAATTTTATATTTTGCAATATTTCAAAATATTTTACATAATATTACACCTTTTTTACTGGTCGTAAATTATTTCGTATTATTACGCCCTATTAAATTTGCTGATGTAAGCATGTTGGTGAACCAACAGATAAAATATCAAGTAAGAAACAAAAGCAGGCTAAGAAAGAATTGCATATATTAAAAGATCTTATAAAAGAATTATCTTCTAAGGATCCAGTAAAAACTATTGCTCAAACAGAATCAGCCTCCGAATTAAGCACAAGCCCGATCATTTTTCTTGACTTGTATATTAAAATTGTTAACGCCAAAGATCAAAATAAAAAAACAAATCGAGAGATTATTAGGTGTTATTATGATTTTGAAAAAGCACTCAAAGATCGTTTAAATTATTATAAAACTCTTCATCCGAAACAAACTGCCAAGATGCTTGTTAATAACGAAGTTAGAAATCAACTTTCTCAAAAGGTTACTGAGACAACACTTCGAAAAAATACAAAAAAAGCTCAAAAAATTTATAAACTTTTTAATAGTATTGGTGGGAATGATAACATGATTGAGCAATTGATACAACGAGTAAGTATTTCTGCTTCAACAATTTTGAAACTAAGCAAAGATAACATTGAACATATAGTAGTTGCGGTTATAAAAAATAAGCAGTAACGGTAATTTCATATGGCCATCAGAATTTTATATTCCGATTTTACTGCGCCACAAGTCACATGACGCTGTGAACTTGGTTCACACTTGATTTTTTGTATTACCCATAACTGTATTTGTTATAGAATAAAATTATCTAATCATAGAAATTCAGAATGCAGGAGTTTTGACTTTACAAGGCTTATTGGGGTGTCTATCATTGGTCTAATTACAAACATAGTGCATATGATATAGTGTTCATCTACTAATTAAGATTTTTTATAGTAAAATTTTATAGTCTCATACTATATTAAATTACTATGAAAATTGACTTTACTTCGCTTTTAATTCCTCCCGTAATATTTAATATTTTTTAATTCTATAAAGACAAGATACTTAATGAAAGGTGTCTTTATAGTGTGACAACGTTAGAATTTTATTTTACTAATCATAAATGTCTTCAATCTGTGGATTGAAGTTTAGTTTACAAAAAAATCATATGACATTTTACGTTGTACAAAAAAGATAACGATAACGATAAACTTTATCTAAAAAGAAAAAAGATCTATATTTAATCTATTTCTATTCAACTATTTCTGCTTCGAACCAATTTTTTAAGCAGAACAAAGCCTTAGCCATTTTTTCAGAAGTACTATTTCTGATATGGTCAATAGTATATTTTGTAGTAGAAGAAACATGCTTGCAAGAAATACAAGTTGTTTGCAAGGTCAAATAGTCTGCTATAATGCCAGCTATGGTTAGAAAATAGGAGACATGGCTCTTCCACTACAACAACGGATCTGTCTTTGGCTTGCGGCGTAACAAAAGATAGGCTTCCAATTCGTTTATTTCTCTGATTTTATTTATTCGTGCAAGTTTACGAAATATTTCTAACCGATTTTTAACCTTAATGTTTTCTACCTTAATGCTTTCTTTAGAGTTATCCGTCATATAGAATAAAGGTTATTTAATTTATTAATCGCTAATTGACGATCGGTTATATGAAATGTTTCAAATTTGGATGATGGATCCATCAGAGTTGGGATCTTAGAAAATTTCGAAAAATAAACACAATATTCTTCCAGCTTGACTTTCATCTCTTGGGCTGCTTCATAGTGTACACCACCAACAAAAAGATAATTATTAAGATACGCTAAGAGGCCTAGGATTATTAATTGTAAAGAACTATGAGAGAGTTGTGAAGTGTCGGAAAGGATCAAAGTTGCCTCATGAAATGGCTTAAAAAGCTACACCATCTCTTCGATAATTATCAGGTTATTATTTTCTAAAAAATGTTTTTTTATATTTGGATACGGTTGTATAATGATATTAATAAAATTTTGGATTTGACTAAACCGTTCAAGCATCAAATAAGTGGAATTCCACCCTGTGAAATTCCACTTTATATTGTCGTCATCGATTTTAACATGGAGAGTTAGACGGTCTATACCAATAGAACATTTTTTTATTTCTTCCAAAAACAATGATAATGTTTTTACTTTGGTAATAAATTGACGAACTTTTTGAATTTGATAAAAGTATTTCTTTTGACATGCTTCAGCCATGAGATTAATCGCATGCATAGCACAACTTGCATATTCAAGTCCAGGATTTATCTCTTTTTTAAGGTAATCAATACACATCTGATTACTTATAGTATTATCGCTGGTGACTCCAATTATTTGTTCTTTTATTTTCATATCTTTGACAAGTTTAAAAACTTTTCCTTTGAGATATATTCCAGTATAGGCATCATCCAAGGAAACGAAATCGAGAAGAAGGTTTTTTGACTTCCATTCTTTATCGATCCAATGAGCTACAATACCGAGAAAATGTTGGTTTGTACATGCATTCAAAGTATTCAAGACGAGTGTCAATTTGCTTTGATTAGCTTTTATAATTTTTTGAACCTTTACTTTCGCTGAATCAAATTTTTTGTTTATATTAGAAGAGAGGTTTTGATGGTCTGGAATCTCATAATACAGGTCGAAAGTGGAAATTAATCTTAAAAATGAGATTGTTTCAAGTACTGAAAATGGATGTTTATTAAGGACAATCCATTGCAACAACTTATGATTCAAAGATTCAACCCGAGTTATCAAACTTTCTTCGTTAAAAAGAGAGTTAAAGTCATTATCAGATTTGTCAGAATATTCATACTCAATTTCACGCTTTTGCTTTTTTTTGGAATAATCGGAATTAACATAGTTTTTAGGATCTTGAATAGTGATTTCAGTAACTTTATTAGAAGATTCTGGGAAAGAATCAGTAATCTTTCGCTTTTTTTCAACCTGAGGATTTTGAAAAGAGACCATGGAGCCTTCAGGAGAAGACTCGAAAGAATCAATAATTGTGTAATATATGTTTGACATATTAGATATAGTAAGAAAGTTTTATATTTAGTGCTTGGTGTAAGAGAGAGACGAATTAGTGAATGAGAAAAAAAAAGTAAACAGCTTTTATTTAGGTTTTCAAGCCATGCGATCAGGTGCTGAATCTCATTATTGCAGATACTATTACAATAATATTTGCAATTGTGATATTTTGAATATATAAACTTTGATTGCATTATTTGTAAAGAAATATTAGCATCATCAAATCACTCACTGCATTTTAATTTATTAATTTAAGCTAACTAAATTTATTTGATAGATTCATCTCTTTATTCAAATAAGAATTCGAGTCATAGAATTTGTATTTACATTACAATTTCTGTTTAATTTATTATTACAAGATTTAGAGACGTGTTAGTGCTAATAATGCTAATTTAGTTGTCTTTTTTTGAATTAGCTCTAGAGTCTACAGTTTTGAATACGATTAGCACGGCATTTTAATTGTCAATATAAATACGGGAAGTAAAGGATATTAACATTATTATAGATACGTTTTATTGTACTAAGAGTGCTAATTGTCTTTTAAATTAATTCTAGAGTTTACACTTTTGAATATGACCAGTGCACTATTTAAATAGTTCTTATTGATACGAATATGAAAAGTATGAATGCGCTTTAAAAATTTCAATGGATCTATTAAATTGTTATACGAATTAGTTCTAGAGTCTACATTTTTGAATACGACCAGTGTGGTTTGTCTTGTTGATATAAATACAGAAAGTATAGATGCGCTTTAAGATTGTATTATGTTAGTAATCTAATTTGACTTTTCCATATTAGTTCTAGAGTTACATTTTTAAATACGACCAGTGCGGCTCGTTTTGTTGATATAAATACGGAAAGTATAGATACACTTTAAGATTGTATTATGTTAATAATCTAATTTGACTTTTCTATATTCTAGAGTTTACATTTTTGAATACGACCAGTGCGGCTCGTCTTGTTGATATAAATATGGAAAGTACAGATGCACTTTAAGAATCTTGATGAATATTGCTGAATTATGTTAATAATACTAATTTGACTTAATTTGATTGCCTTTCCGAATTAGTTCTAGAGTTTACATTTTGATATGACTGTTAATATAATACGTATGGCAGTATGAATTTTCTAATAGAGCAATATTGAAACTATATTTATTTAGAAGTCTATTTGTATTATGTTATAGAGATT